TTGCTATTAATTTTATATTGTATTTGCAGACAAAGTCATGTCCTGCCCATTCACGTTGAATAGCATGAACGAGTTCCCGATTCATCCTCTGTAGTGGGGTCGGGGTGGGAAAATACGCTAACATTTTAAATAAATCTTCTTTTAATAGATGAGTTCAGAATTATTTAATTGGCAACCAAAATATAACAATAAAAAAATAATGATAATTAGTTTTTTACTATTTGTCTTTTTGTCTAAATTCTTCTTTACGGTTCTGCTTTTCTCTTGTTTGATTTTTTATTTATTTTTTATAGAGGAATTCTGTTACATTTGTATTGAGGCAATTTATCTCCTTTTTTGTTGTGTTTCAGAACTTTGTTATTCTGGTTATAATGACACGTTTTAGGTTTTTTTTTCCTTCGAATAGGATATCTTCAGATTCGTTTGATTAATTGGAATTTACGCTCCCTCATGTCAAGTATCACACACGCGCGCGCGCGTATATATATATATATATATATGTAATATATATATATATACATATATACATGTATGTATGTATGTATTAAAATAAGGTCATTTTGCAGACGCCATGAAAGAGAAGCAGGGGAGGCTGAGTCCTGTCAATAAAGAGGCCGTATCATCATGTGTGCAAAATAATTTACGTTTCCTTTTCTCACTAATATATGGTACTACCTAACTGGTCAACTTCCTCGGTGTCGGTTGGTTTGCTAGTCAAATTAAACAACAATCCTAATTTGATCAATTTTGGGGAGGATGTTAAGATGATATACTATGGTGTCCTTAATGTCTAAAAAGATAATTCAACGAAACTAAGGCTTGTTCTTTTAGAGTTTAACTTTAGTATAATTCTTGAGTTTAATTTGAGTTGAACTTGTAACTTGAGTTTGTGTTTGGTTGTGTACATTTGAGTTATGGTTTGATATAAGAATCTTTTTGAGTTTGTATTTGAGTGAGTCAAAACTTGAATTTGTATTTAGATAGTATTTTAATAAAAACTCAATGCTGATGAAAAATTTTAATAGGGTATATGGGTGGGGTTTTATTCGTCTTTTCGTTATCAACGCATAGAAAAAAAAATCATTTCAATCAGAACTAAAACGAAAAAATTATAGCATTTTTAAGAATAGAAAAAATATTGTTCATTAATTTGAGTTCGAGTTTCTAAACTCGAGTTAAAAGGGAAACTTGAACTCGAGTTTTAGTCCTAAACTCGAGTTTGAACTCGAATTTAAACTTAAAATAACATGAACTCGAATAAAATTGTAACTTGAGTTGCATTTTTTTGAGTTTTTTACTCAAAAGAACAAGCCCTAAAAAATAATTTGTGTACAAACAAGTTCTTTTCTTCTTTTTTTTTTTTCCTTAGAGGAATAATTTTAGTCTTTAAATATATCAGTTGCCCAATATCTAATCTAATCTAGGAGACGTTTAGTTCATGGATTAGAATCATGTGATTAGAACTATTTTTCGATTTACGTGTATTTTTTATGAGATAAAACACTGTAGCGAACTATGAACTATGATTCAAATCATGGTTTGAATCCTCAAACCAAACGTCCTCTAATCTAAATCTAAAAGTAGTTATGTGATAGTGTTTTGGTAATTCCTGTCAAAATTTATGATATTTCTTTTCACTGCAAAAACATGGTATCGAGTCCAACAACTTTTTTTTTTCCTTTCAATGAAAGATGGGATTCAAATTTTAACCTCAATATTAAAGGCAGGGTGTGGAGTAGTCGTTAGACTAAGTTTAAAACTCCTAAGGCGCGTTTGAAACTCGTTCTAAAATAATTTTATTTTTTGTACGAAAATAAAAATAAAAACGTTTTCAATCTAAGACAAAAATTATTTTTGAAAATGCGTTTGGTAGTTTTATCAAGAGATTATTTTTAGTGTAAAAAAACCCATTAATGTCTCTCTTTCTCTCTCTGCTCGAGAGAGAAGAAAACGAAAATAAAAAATCGTTTTCATTTCTATTTTTTGTCTTTATTGCGCCAAACGCCGTTTTGAAAACGTTTTCATTTTTTATTTCTCAAAAAACGTGAAAAATAAAAACGGGATCAATTCTAAACACGGTCTTAGTTTTTTTTTTTCTTTTTGATAGTCCTAATAAAATAGGTATTTTATAAACAGTTCTAATTTTAATTATTTTTTTTATATCCATATGACGTCAATAATTGTTATAAATAATAATTTTTTATGTAATACATGATAGTGATATAAAAGAAAATAACTAAAACCAATATTATTTTTTGAAATAGTGTTTTTATCAATGCTATAAAAAAAGTAACCATTTGCTTGAAGCGCCAGTTTAACATAATGCTATTGTCCGTTATATTGTTAGTTAAAAGTCATAATGATCAGAAGTACGTGGTATTTGATTATTTTTTTTTTCCCTTAGCTGTTGTGGATACCAAAGTCAGTATTTAGTTGGTAAATTATAGATAATAATGTTGTGAAGATCTGAAGATGTATAATTACTAAAATAAGCCTACTTTATTTTTTTGATAAAATGCTTTAATTCACATATTTATGGCTTTTTTTCATAAGATAAATATAATGGGTGGATTGAGAATTGTAATTTATTGTTGAGGATATATTAGCAAAAATGAATAATGACAACATAAGTAACTAAGTGAAAATAACCTGAATATACTTTTTAAATTCTGCTTCCGGACCGTAGTTTTTAGAATTTGATTTACAAAACAGGAGTTTACTAAACACCTTTACCTATTATTAATTCAAGTGCTTTAAAAATCTAAAAGGAACCTGAAAACAATGTCAAAAGGGGTCCCAAGTATGATGCAACATCACAAGAGCAAATTTGTCAACACAATTATATACCTCATATTTTATGTCATTTCTATTATGTAAATTAGGTTGGATACCATTTTTAAGTCTAGTTATTAAAGTGTCCTACTTTTAAGTAAATTAGGTTAATTTTCTTTTTTTTTTTGTTTTCACAAACACAGCATGTTCAAATATCGATTATTGCAGAGTCGTATTTCTTTAATTTACTTACACTCTCATAAAAAATAAAATATATTTGAATATAATATATTCTTTTTGAAAAGACAATCCTTTATTCAATTAAAATAAACATAATAATTATAAATATCAGAGACATTACCAAGATCAATGTAACAATTCATTATAATAGATTTTTTTTATTGTACACTATTTCTATTGGCGTGAATGTTTAAGGAAGATAAAATTGCGCTCCGCAAAAAAAAAAAAAAAAAAAAAATCTTCATAATTACATATTAATAAAAAGTACAGCATAATTTATTTTTGAGAAAATTGTAAATATAAAAAAATGGAGCATTTATAATTTATGAATTTTGATATTTTATTTTCTATTGAAATATCTACAAAAAAAATAATAACTTTTGATTCATGATGACATATCTCCAACTTCTAATTTTTGACAAATATCTAACTTCAAAATATTATCGAAATGCCCATTTATGTTTATTAAGATAAATAATATTGCTAGAGACATCAATTTAAATACTAATTCTTATATTTCAATTGATATAATATGCGAGTTGTCATTTTATATTAATAAATGTAATTTTTTATTATTAATTGATGTGATAATGTTGTGAATACTCTCCAATATAAAAATAACAACTCACATATCACATTAGTTAATATACAAAAGTTGATATTTAAATTAGTGTTGCTAACATTATTCTTAAGATAATATCATTTTTGATACATTCTTGTTGTGTGAGTTGTTATGGATTTATATAAATGTTTTAAAAAAATTATTCATAAATGATAGAAAAGTTCAAAAGTAATTACAAATCATTTTAAGGAGATTTTTTGATAAACTAGTTTTATTGGTAGTGTTAATTTTTTACTATTAAATTAAAATTGAAATCATATTAGATTAAAAAAAAAGTAAAATAGATAAAATATGATACATAAAAATTTATTAATAATTCTTTATTTTTGTCATCAGATAAGCTCCCATCATTTTAGGGTTTTTAGCACATTTGTCTCATAAACTTATCATGGTTTAGCAAATTGCCCCCTCAACTTATAAAGTTGTTACAATATGTCTTATTTTGATGATAATTATGTGAAATTAGTGTTGAAAAAGCACGTTCAGTAAAAATTTTTAACATTCTAATTCAAATGTAACACAAATATTTTAATATCTCAACTTTTAATCCCTTAAATTTAATAAAAAAATTTGAACAAATTTAGTTAAATTTGGCATATTGCAATAAATTTATAAGTTCGGAGGTAACTTGTCAAAATTAAAAATTTAGAAGACAATGTGCTAAACCACGATAAATTTGAGAGACAATTGTGTCAAAAACCCATCATTTTATCAATAACTCTTTTTTTCCAAGTAACACATAAAATACTATTTTTTTATTTTATGCTAGTAAAAACTCATTAAAAATTAAGAAGATTTTTTAGTACGCTTAACGTACTAATAGGTCAGGTTTTTATAACCATTAAATTTATATATTTTTTTACGTGATTTTATACCGATTAATATATTAACATACCAAAACAGATCTCAAAAATTAAATAAAAGAAAGGAAAGTTTATGCATCGTTCGTTTCACAAATTTAAATTTTTAATCCAAATTAAAATCTGATATTTTTAAATTTTTTTTAAATATAATAAAAAAATTAAATATAATATTTTAAAATATTTTTAAATTAAAAATTAAAAATTAAAAATTCAGTTCGGTGAAATAAATATGTTCTAAATACCGGTCAAAAAGCCCGAGCGCATCTTCACCAAACTCTCGTCAAAATACAGATACCCTCGGCCCCACTAATAACCACGTTTCATTACATGGAACCCGCTACGTGCCGCCATCATAGCCACCTCATGTCGGCTTCTTACATCTTTACCCTGCGACCTCGCTGTATCCAACCACACCCCACCGGAGAGAGAAACCAATCCTAAAACTCCAAAATAACACCACTCTAACCAACCGCCTCATATTTTTAAAAACTTTTTGGCTTTATAACCAAAACGCACACCAGTTTTCCTCTCTTGTTCTTCCGTGTTCTTCTCCTCTGCTTTGCGTATTGACCTCTCTCTCTCTCTCTCCTCCCGAAAACGACGTCGCCGAATACCGAATTCCTTTAGATTATCTCTCACCGGAGCTACGCAGATAAAATCGTAAATATCATTTCCCTCCCAGTTTTTGTATTGTTATTCCTTTTGTAGCCGTCTTCTCTTTCCATTTCCTCGAACCTCGCTGCTTTCCGTTTTGCTAGTCGGAATGATGTCGCCGAGTATTGCTGGAGCCCTCGCCGCTGACGAGGGAATAATCTGATCGGGTGGTTTTTGATTTTTTTTTTGGTGATTTGATTCTACTACATGCATCCTTTCTGCTGCGTCTCCACCGTCTCCGACCATTCTCCGGCGAAAGCGTCAGCTTCTGCGTTGACGGAGCTCTCCATGCCTCAGGTGACATCGCTCTCCTCCAGATCCGATTCGTCCGGGCGATTGGTAAACCATGTTGGTAACCACAACCACAATCACAGCCAATCCTACAGTCAAAATCACAATAACAATCACAACCACAACCAGAGTCAGAATAGCCACATCGGAAACAACGATTACGGCCGGCTGAGCCAGAGGACGACCGCTGCCGCTGCCGCCGCTGCCGCCGCGGCCATGGCTGCGGCGGAGGCCCTGTCGCGGCCTCCGTCGGCGAGGGAGCAGCCGCTGGACGTGAAGATCAACGATCTCGTCGGAAATGGAGTCTCCGGGATACTATATAAATGGGTGAATTACGGCAAAGGCTGGCGACCTCGGTGGTTCGTTTTGCAGGATGGAGTCCTCTCGTACTATAAGATTCACGGTCCCGATAGGATCGTCGTCAGCCAAGAGACGGAGAAAGGTTCCAAGGTCATTGGTGAGGAATCGAATCGAAGGATTTCTCGCCAGAAGAATGGCAGCACCTCTCACAACCAGCACCGGCGTAAGCCGTTCGGTGAAATTCATCTCAAGGTACCGCTTTGATTCCTATTCGAATTTCTTTATCCTTTCTCTTCGAGTGATAATTTAATATCTGATTGTTCTGTTTCAATTTGTATGGAGAAAATTTCCCTTCGTAATTTCGTAATTTAATTTCTAGCCTCCTGATCGATTTTCCATTTTTTATTGGACGAAGATTGAAATCAGGATTGATCTTATGTTTTGGAACAATAATTATAATTTATTTCATCACCGATTGATATAATAAATAAATATATACAGTATTAATTGATTTCTGAAGAATTCATTTCTAGGTTTCAAGCATCCGCGAGAGCAGATCCGATGACAAGCGGTTCTCGATCTTCACTGGCACGAAAAGGCTTCATTTGAGGGCGGAGACGCGTGAAGATCGATTGGCGTGGATGGAAGCATTGCAGGCTGTGAAGGACATGTTCCCGCGGATGTCAAACAGCGAGCTAATGGCACCAATCGACAATGTGGCAGTGTCGACGGAGAAACTGCGGCAGCGGCTTGCTGAGGAGGGCATCACAGAGGCAGCAATCCAGGACAGCGAGCAGATAATGAGGAGTGAATTTGCCGCTCTGCAGAACCAGCTTATGCTGCTCAAGCAGAAGCAATGGCTCCTCATGGACACGCTGCGACAGTTAGAGGTACGGAAACTTAACGCCACTAAGAATTCTTCTTCGGTACTGCAGATTTCTAATGCTCTCTAAACCACCAAATAAATATGATTGGAGGCTGTGGGGCTTTTCGTTGATTGCCTCCTTTCTTTTGTTTCCACCAATTAGTGTTGTAACTTGCTCTGATTCTTTTGTATACAATTACCAGTGGAATTTTTTCCTCTTTACTCCTTATGTATACTTTTTTTTAATGTATAAATATACCTTTTTTTTTCCATAACCTGTGGGCTTCTGTCAATAAAATTTGTTGTGTAGACTACAGATGTAGAACTATGTTGTTTAATTCATGAATTTTAACCCAAGTGCACTAGATCTTAGGATGACGTTAATTACCTAGGTATCAACCTCTTCGCATTTAACTTTTACATGAAATATCTAAAAGGGCAAATTGTTGGTGTGACAATTTGTGTAATTTACCGGGATAAAAATGTGTTTGAAACAAAATGCAGTTATTTACCATGTTAACAGTTAAAACAATGTAGGGCATGCGTGTATGTCCACCATGTCTCTGAAAACTTAGTTGCTCCTGATGTTTGATATCTCAATCCATCCACCTTAGTCTACAATTGTTTATAATTTTAGATGTTGAAAATTGAAATTTTCTTAGTTCTTTACCCGTTATTTCTGTACTTTTTGGGAGTTGGAGGGCTGTGGTTGTGGTCGGGTGGGTGGGGTGGGGTGGGGTGGGGGAAGCTGTTGATATAGAGTTAGGATTTTCACTTACTAATGCCCTTTCCTAGATATCTTGAGCCATATAAGTTGAGCTCTTTTAATAGTCCTGCCACTTTACCTATTCTCCTCCAAGTGAAGTTCTGGTGTTTAGTTTCATGAGGGAAATATTAGAATAGTAGAACTTATGAAGCAACTAGGCTATGGAAATGGTATTAGGAGGAGGTAAACTATGGTGGTGATTAGGGCAATCACCATGATGGATGATGTGGATTAACTAGGCTCTGCCGAAATGGCGGCAACACTATTGGCCCGTTTGGTTCACACGTTCAAGTCAGTGATTTTAATTTTGAATTCAAATTTTGTGAGAGAACCATTGATAGAATCCCTCCTCTCAAGACTTACTTTCGGAAGAATAGTGGAGTGGTTGCTGGTTTAGTGGGATTAGAGGATTTAGTGGCTTGAGTGGCTGAACCAGTCAAGTCACACATGGAGATTTAGTGGTTGAACAAGTCAAGTCACACGTGGAGGGCCTTGAAGGAGTCTTGGTGTCTTATGCCCATGATTAACAGAATTGTGCTCCACTCTTCCATTATTTTCCTAAGTTTCAGCAAAGTAGTTTCTGTCTGTTTTGCAAATAATATGACTCTGAGGATTAGTATAAATACCTGTAAAAGAGTTCATTTGATTATTGTCGAATTGAATTTATGTTTGTATTTGGAGATTTGTCCACTCCACACGGACTACCTTTATTGTTGACCTTTGTACTAAGATTCTCATACTTTAATCTTCAATAAAATTTCCCGTTTCCAACAGATTTCACCCTTTAATTCCTTTAATTTTACAGCTTCTAACATTTTGGTATCAGAGCCACGTTCCGATCCGAAATGGTGTCCACACGAGCTTCCACTTCCCATCCTGAACCACCATATCAACCCACCAATCCACCTACCGACCCAAGCAATCCCACCCCTCGTCCTGCATCCCCAAACGCTGATCTAATAGCGTTTCAACTTTCTTTCATCACTTCTCGACTTAAAGCCTTTGACATTTTGGCAGCTGATGTGGCAGCACTCAAGGCTCAATCTTGCAGCAAGCCGAACCCCTCTCTGGTCGGTTACACAAAGGCAAGGCCAAAGAAATTCACCTTGGTTCCTGCGAACAAAGGAAATCTGTTTGGTCGGAAGCTGAAGATGATGATGCTGACAGCCCTTGGTGGCATCGAACTCCGTCTAGGCGGCCGCACACGAAAATGGAATTCCTCAGATTCGAAGGCGGCGACCCTCGCGGATGGATCCTTAAGGCGGAAAAATACTTCCGCTACTACCAAACTCCCGAAGAATTGAAGGTTGATATTGCTGCGATGTACCTAGAGGGAGACACGCTGGATTTGTTCGCCTAGATCAACAAAGAGCGCACCCTCGTGTTCTGGGATGAACTCGTGAAGGCTCTGCAAGAGAATTACGGACCTGCAGAATTCCAGAATCTTGATCGACAACGGATCAACGCATAACTTTATTGCCAACGACTTGGGAAGAAGTTTTGGGGGATTATGCTGAGATCTCGTTGCACGAAATTCTAGGTAAGACCAGCGGTACAACGATGAAGCTCAAGGGGTCTTTGAAAGGCACACAGGTTCTCATCTTGATCGACAGCGGATCAACGCATAACTTTATTGCAGCATCGCTTGTGGCAAACTTGGGCATTCCGGTTGAGAAGACAACCCTTTTTGGCGTCCAGATTGGGAACAGAGAGGTTATACAGTGTAGCCAGATTTGCCATGGTGTTTCTATTTAGCTGCCAGGATTGCGAATTACCCAGGACTATTATTCTTTCACGATTGGGGGTGCTGATTTGGTCTTGGGAATCAAGTGGCTTGCATCACTCAACACTGTTCAAGCGAACTGGAATGAGATGTTCATGATATTTTACCTAGATGGAAAATGCTATAAGCTTCAGGGCATCCCATCGACAGCAAAGGTAGAAGCCTCTTTCCAAGCAATTTCCAAGCTTGCTGATAATAAAGGTGATCCTTCCCAGCCAGCTTTAAATTCTTTATTACGCGAGTTTGAATCTATTTTTGCTGACCCCACTACCCTACCACCCTTCCGTTCTCATTCCCATGCCATTCCACTGTTACCTAACTCCAAGCCGCCAAATATCCGCCCGTACCGATACCCATACTACCATAAATCCAAAATAGAAAAACAAGTTGATGACCTTCTCAAAGCTGGCTTCATCAAACCCAGTTCTAGCCTATATGCCAGCCCAGTCCTACTAGTCCAGAAGAAAGATAATACTTGGAGGTTTTGTGTGGACTACAGGGCCCTAAACCAATTAACCATACTTGACAAGTACCCAATTCCTAATATTGATGAATTGCTAGACGAAATCCACGGAGCCACTGTTTTTTGCAAAATCAACCTCCGTTCGGGTTATCACCAAATCCATGTTCACCCTCCCGACATCTATAAAACTGTTTTTCATACACATTCGGGCCACTACGAATTTGTAGTTATGCCTTTTGGACTCACTAATGCACCCTCAACTTTCCAGTCCGCAATGAACAACCGCCTTTGCCCATATCTCCGAAAATGTATCCTCGTATTTTTCGATGACATATTGATATATAGCCCGACCTTAGCGGAGCATCTCACCCATCTTCAATTGGCCCTTGTCCTTTTATGGACCCACTCATATTTTGCCAACGCAAAAAAGTGTATGTTTAGTTAGAATCAAATTCTATTTTTGGGTCACGTGGTGAGCAAAGAGGGCGTTGGAGTTGATCCTGAAAAGGTGCAAGCGGTTCTGGAGTGACCAGTACCGAAGAATGTTAAAGAATTGAGGGGATTCTTGGGCCTAACAGATTATTACCGCCGATTTGTTCAGAATTACGAGGTGATTGTAAGAGCTCTAATAGATTTGACAAAGAAAAATGCCATCCAGTGGTCTACAAATGCAGATTTGGCTTTCCAGAAACTCAAGAATGTTCTGACTACAGTTCCCGTTCTTGGATTGCCCAATTTCAGCCAGCCCTTTACCGTAGAATGTGGCGCCTCTTCTGATGGAGTGGGAGCTGTCCTTATGCAATCAGAACACCCCATTGCATACTTCAGTAATGGATTTTCTCTAATCTTTATAAATCTACTTATGACAGAGAATTATTGGCTTTGGTTTTGGCTTTACAAACGTGGAAGCATTATCTATTGGGGCAACATTTTTTTTGTGAGGATTGACCATTGTAGCCTCAAGTATCTGTTAGATCAACGAGTCCCCACAAACAAACAACAACGCCTTCTCATGAAGCTTTTTCCTTTTGATTTCACTATCATATACAAAGCCGGAAAGACAAACCAAGGAGCGGATGCTTTATCAAGGAGACCCCAACATGCTGATTTTCTTGCATTAGCCTTGCCAATCAACATGGATTTCATGCACTTGCCTGATGCTTTAAGCCAAGATCTATATAGCAAGGACATCATTGAGGCTCTCCAACGGGACTCTGGTTCACAATCCGGCTTTCACCTGGCGGACAAGAAACTCTTCTACCATAATAGGCTAGTCATACCAGATGATGCTACCTTACGTCTGAAATTATTAGCCGAATCCCATGATTCATTGGCTGGAGGACATGGCGGCTATCTCAAGACACTCAAGCGTCTCACCTCTTTCTTTTTCTGGCCCCAAATGAAACACGATGTGAAGAGATATGTTCAGAATTGCATGGTTTGCCAGCAAAATAAATTTCAAACACTTGCACCAGCTGGTCTCCTACAAACCAATTCCGATTCCGGAGCGAGTTTGGGAAGATATTTCCCTTGATTTTATTGTTGGCCTTCTGAAGACAGATTCAGCAAGTATAGTCATTTTCTTTTACCAACACATCCTTTTACTGCAAAATCAGTGGCTGCTCTTTTTTGCAGGGAATTTGTTAGGTTGCACAGCATGCCTCGCTCTATCTTGTCTGATAGTGATGTCATTTTCCTTAGCACTTTTTGGCAAGAGCTATTCCGGCTTAGTCAAACTCGGCTTCGGATGGGGACTTCTTATCACCCTCAGTCGGATGGCCAAACCGAGGTGGTGAACCGCTGTTTGGAGGCTTACTCGCTGCTTTGCACATGAACAACCATCTTCCTGGAGCAAATTCATTCCTTGGGCAGAATTTTCCTTCAACACGGGCTTCCATACTTCAACGGGTACCATTCTTTATGGAGGGATCCGCCTAGCTTACATCCATTCGTTCCGGGGGAAACGCATATTGCTGAGTTAGAAGCACAATTGCTAGAACGTGATGACATGTTGAAGCTTTTGCGTGAAAATCTTCTCAAAGCTCAATCTCGAATGAAGGCATATGCTGATTCTAAGCGTAGAGAATTCTCTTTTGAAGTAGGTGACACAGTTTTCCTTTGCATTCGGCCCTTTCGTTAGCGTTCTTTGTCTAAGTGAAAGTATGAAAAGCTCTCTCCTCGATATTTCGGGCCATATACTATTCTTCGTCGTGTGGGACTAGTAGCATATGAATTGGATCTGCCTTCGGACTCCAAACTCCATCTCATCTTTCATGTGTCTTTGTTGCATCCTGCTCGTGGCCAACTCCCATCCACACCTCTAGCGGCTTTGCCCATCTCTGATGATTGGGAGCTCCACTTAACACCAGCTAAGATTTTGGACCATCGTTGGGTTACACAGTCTGGTATTCCCTCACTTGAGCTCCTGGTTCAATGGACAGATTGTCCTATTTAGGAAGCTTCTTGGGAAAATTATGATCTCTTGATGGGTCAATTCCCTGATTTTCGCCTTGAGGACAAGGCGAGTTTTGAGGGGGGGTGTACTGATAGATTCCCTCCTCTCAAGACTTACTTTTGAAAGAATAGGAAGAATAGTGGAGTGGTTGTTGGTTTAGTGGGATTAGAGGATTTAGTGGCTTGAGTGGCTGAACCAGTCAAGTCACACGTGGAGATTTAGGACCCGTTTAGTTCGCTGATTTAAATTTTTAATTCGAGTTGAGATGTGACTTTATGTAAGAGCTTTTTACTGTTGCAAAAAAGTTAGATGTGATTGTTTCTGAGAGCTTTTACTGTAGCAAACTCGAATTCTAAACTTGAATCGGTGAAATGAACGGGGCCTTAGTGGTTGAACAAGTCAAGTCACACGTGGAGGGCCTTGAAGGAGTCTTCTTGGTGTCGTATGCCCAGTCGCCCATGATTAACAGAATTGTGCTCCACTCTTCCATTATTTTCCTAAGTTTCAGCAAAGTAGTTTCTTTATGTTTTGCAAAAATAATATGATTTGAGGATTAGTATAGATACCTGTAAAAGAGTTCATTTGATTATTGTCGAATTGAATTTATGTTTGTATTTGGAGATTTGTCCACTCCACACGGACTACCTTTATTGTTGACCTTTGTACTGAGATTCTCATACTTTGATCTTCAATAAAATTTCCCTTTTCTGACGGATTTCACCCTTTAATTCCTTTAATTTTACAGCTTCTAACAAACCATTGGCGGGAATTTTTTTGTATCAAATTTTGTGTGAGAGAAAAGTACTGTAATAGAATCAGAATCATGAGTTTAACTGCGTAAAACAAACGGGCCTTATAACATTGTCCATGAATGAAATGTGCTTGTTTGTTGAGTCTTCGGTTCACCAGTCTTGAGTTAACTACATAAGATGACACTTCCAGATATCTGAACACCGAATTGTGTCTTACTAATCATGCAGTTTGACAACCGAACTATGTTTAATTATCAAAATTGCTTAATAAAGTCAAACAAGCATTGTCCTTAAAACGGCTGGTTGAAGTACCCACAAAACTTAAGGCGACTATAATTTATGATTTGGATGACAACCACTAATCTGTTTTATGATTTGGATTTGTTTTGGCTTCATGAGCTGAAACAACTCAGATTTCTCTGTTACAATTCCTTAAAAGAGTTACTTTAGTGAAGGCTGAATGGTTTTCTCTAGCGTGATCAGGACGATTATTCTTCATCACTTTCTATTTTGTTAGTCCCATTTACTGGCATCGTTGAATAAAGTGACTAGCTTAATGATTCTTAGTATGCTGATTGCTTGTTGGAGTAGAACTTGACAATAGAACCTGATTAACTTTCATGAGGAAAACTATGGGGCGCTGAACATGGTTATTCTCATACACCTGGAGGAGGTGCATACCTTTAAGTTGGTGTGTTAGCTTCTACGTACGGCAATGAGATTTTATAATTCTTCCTCAATAGGTTGAAAAAGCACTTGGACAATCAAGAAATTCAGCTGTGTGATGATGTTGTAGTTTGTGGTTCAGTTGAATGTGGATATATGTGCCTTGAGGCTTGTGAAAGCCTTACAACATTGAGGTTTGGTTTTTAATCAAACTTTAATCCATTTAACCATTGAAAACATCCAAAGCTTCTCCTTCATGTCTGCCTTTCTTGTTTCCACTCTCCCATCACTTTTTGATTGTTTGATATGGTTGTTTCTACGTATGTTCTCTCTAACACAACATTGTCACTCGAGTTGCGACTCTCGGTTTTCTGGTTTCAGTCTCTGGTTCCATGCAGACATATTTGTGTTCCTTGCTAGTATGGTGAAATTCATGCAAAATATTCCTTAATGATATACAAATAACGAACTAAAATATCCATAACCCAGTAAACATAACGTGAGTGAAATTCTTTATGAATCCAATCCTGTAGACAATGATTTTAAAACTTTCATTTTATGACTCATTCAATAATAGTCACAAGTTCTAGAATTTTACTTATAGAATGAGGAGTTGTAAGGGTTGTACATCATTATGTTATGCTTACAAACTGCTGTTTATATTGAATTGTGTAGACAGAAAAAGTTGATTTAGAGAACACAGTGGTTGATGAGAGTCAAAGACAGTTGAAGGATTGCGGGGTGTCTTCTAGATTAAGGCACGATAAATTTAGTGGTAAGTTTTCTGCAGAAGTCATTTATAGTAGTTATTTTTTTGTCAAGTTTGCCCACCAGTTTTCTTTTTGTAATGATATGACTGCTTTGAAACAATAATCTTGATTGATGCGTATCCCCGTCTTGCTTTTCTGTTTCAAATTTGCTAGGTATTAGTATGTCAATTTTGAATTTCTGAAAGACATAGCAAAATGCCTCCAAGGCTACATGTTACCCTGTACTGTTGATCAAGACTCATTACTTGGTTTAAATTTTTCTTCATTGAGAATTTAATACGAGTAATTTTCTGAATTTGTGTGTATACTATTTCACTATTTCAGCTTTTATTTTTCTGTTAAATTCTGAAGCTTGCAGATGAGGTTACATGCCTCATTGGCCTTTTTGTGACTTTGTAAATTCGAAGTGAGGTGTTTTGGTAGTCTTGTAATGTGAAGATTGAATATATTACAAAGTTATGTTGGCCATACTCAAATGCCGACTCACCTGGCTTCTTACACAGTAGTTCGGATCTACTTCTAATCAAACACTGTTGTCGTAGAGCCAGGAGATATAGCTTATTATCATCTTCGAGGGATACACTGCATTGGAAGACTGGTGGGGGATTTTAGTATGATAAAATTTGGTTTATAGATATTATGAAAGAAGAGAGTCCAGGTGCAGTAAGTATATGCTGGTGCAATATTCATATAATAACATTAAAGAACAAAGATAATGTATCAAAAGAATATAAAGAAGAGCATGCTAGTTACCATGCCCTTGATGAAAGTGAAAGAATCGATTGGCATGCCCCACTGGATGGCTGAACTGCAAGCTAGGCAATTCTTTTCATTGGTCTCTGTCTCTCATGATTTTTCATTTCTTTTTCCCCCTCATCATAATTGTTAAATGAATCAAATCATTTGCGGTATTTGCGTATTTGCAGATTGTAATGACTTGTCTATGTTACTCCTTTGATTTTTTTTTTTCTTTCCAATTTTCTTTTAAATTGTTTCAGTCTGTACTCTTGAATCAAACATGCCACAATGGTGATCTTGAAATGTGCTAAAATGAGGCCAAGCTCTATAATTCGTGATATCTTCTCTAGGTAATGTTTGGAGTTATGTTTTTGTTATCTAATTTTACTTATATTATTCTCTTTTTTCAGAAGGAAGCGCAAGTGAGTCTGAGGATGATAATGAAAGAGTTGATGCTGCAGAGGAAGAAACAGATGATGAAGAGAACACCTTTTTTGATACTCGTGATTTTCTATCATCAAGTTCTTTCAAAAGCAATGCGTCTGACTACCGGATATCATCATTTTCTTCAGATGATGATGGCCTTTATGCTGTTGAATCTGAAGATGATATTGATCCGTCCATTAAGTCTGTTGGGACTAACTATCCCTATGTTAAGCGGCGTAAGAAATTGCCCGATCCTATTGAAAAAGAAAAGGGTGTTAGTCTTTGGTCAATGATCAAGGATAACATTGGGAAGGACCTCACTAAAATTTGTCTTCCTGTTTACTTTAATGAGCCTCTTTCCTCTCTACAAAAATGTTTTGAAGATTTGGAATACTCGTATCTCCTTGACCGTGCTTATGAATGGGGAAAAAGGGTAAGCCTGAATATGAAGTTGATGCTTTTACTTTTATGTACGCCATTTATTATTGCTGCACCACTTGTTTCCTTACATTCGGCATATGCACGTGTGTTGGGGTTCTTTTTTCTGTGTTTGCTCTGCACTGCATTGTGCTATATTCCAAAAGCCCTTTGATGTTGCATTGTTGTGAGTCTATCCAGATTTTTTATTTTTGGCTTAATGCGCTTTTATAGTTTCTTAATCTCTTTAAGTTTCGCAGGGTAATGGCCTCATGAGAATTCTAAATGTTGCTGCTTTTGCCGCATCTGGTTATGCTTCAACTGAAGGAAGAATTTGCAAACCTTTTAATCCATTATTAGGGGAGACGTACGAGGCTGACTATCCAGATAAAGGCCTTAGATTTTTCTCAGAAAAGGTTCTCTTTTTAAACTAAAAACTTGATTCCTCTCCCTAATGCTCTCTTCCACTGTGATGGGGGCGTGACTCCAGGTGGACAGGATTATTATATTTATACTGAAAATATCATCTGATTTTTCTTAACGAATTGTTGAAGTTAGAAGCTTGGTCAAATATGCGTTATAGGGTTTGACAGTAATTATGGTGCTTGAATGTCAATTAAATTGGTTATATGGCCCGTAAATGGAAACAATATTAACTCGGGACTTTTTCTTTCTTAAATAACTCACGACTTCCTTGTTACCCTTTGTTGAATATTGTTGGAACATATGTTGTATGTGATCATTATAGGACTAGTATATTGTTTTTGAGATTAACCTTGAGGAAGCCTGGAATATTTGGGAAATCTGGTATATGGAGGAAAGAAAAGATGATACATCTTCAAGATGTTCTTGTTTTTCATTTTTGTATCTTTTAGGAGGGGAGGCGATGGCAGATAAATGTAGTAAACAAGGTGGAATATTTAGTTAGTAAGCGGTAACACTGACACAACTTAGAAGAAACTAAAGTATTTTTTTTTTTAATGCAAGTATTTTTATGCTTTGTAGTAGTGAATCTAATACTGAAGTGTCTTCTGGTTTTTGTCTCAGGTCAGTCATCATCCTATGGTAGTTGCTTGTCATTGTGAGGGTACAGGATGGAAATTTTGGGCAGATAGCAATTTGAAGAGCAAATTCTGGGGTCGTTCAATTCAGCTTGATCCTGTTGGTATTTTAACTTTGGAATTTGATGATGGAGAAGTTTTTCAGTGGAGCAAGGTGCGGCCTTAATGGTTTGGTTTCCCAATATTTTTGATCTTCTTTAGTTCCTCGTTGAGATGGACTTTCTTATGTCAGGTGACAACATCAATTTACAACCTCATATTGGGTAAGCTATACTGTGATCACTATGGTACAATGCGGATACAAGGAAGTCATGGCTATTCATGTAAGCTAAAATTTAAGGAGCAGTCCATTATTGAGCGAAATCCCCACCAGGTACTTTCTATAATTCCTCAATTATTATTATAAATTATTATTATTATTAGTATTTTCTGCAGACAGTATGAGACATCTTTTCCTGATGAAAATAGCTAGGTGTCAAGGTTTGAATTTCTTCTATTATGATGGATTCTTCCAATTAGAGGATATACTAGGGATCTAATATTAGCGATGGAGTCACATTTTCTGTATTTCCTTTCTGATATAACCCTTGGGTAGAACTCATCCCCAAAAGCTAGCTTGTAGGGAGAGGGTGCCCAAGTGATTATAAACCCACATGCTAAGTCCATACTTCAGCAATGTAAGACTCAACCAGGATCCTAACATACCACCACGCTTCCGACACCGACGTCCACAGCGGCCCACTCTAGATGGCCTACTCTAGCCTTTCCAGGTCGCTCCTCCTCAGGTCGCCCCTTCTGCAATGTGGGCCTGAGGCAGGGCATGCTCTGATACCAATTGATATAATCCTTGGGTAGAACTCATCCCCAAAAGCTAGCTTGTAGGGAGAGGGTGCCCAAGTGGTTATAAACCCACATGCTAAGCTCATACTTTAACAATATGGGACTCAACCAGGATCCTAACACCTTCATCTTTATACTCAACGCGGAGAATGAACTATATTTCCTTTGCTTCTTATTTTACCAAACAAAAGAAAAGAAAAACCATTTCACTCCTTTCCGATTTCTTTAGAGGTTTTGTACACCTCTCTCGTTTCTGTTTTGTGTCCCTCCAACCAAACATAGCCTCACTCAGCTTCTGGATATAGGAAAATGAGTGATTTTGTTTGAATAGAATGGATATGCTCATATCCAACTGTTATTATCATGGATTATTGGCTTTTAGTTATGATCTTGAATTTTTTTTTTCCTGTTCTTTACCCTCCTTTTACCATAAATCAGGTACAAGGCGTAGTCCAAGATAGGAATGGGAAGACAGTGGCAACACTATTTGGAAAATGGGATGAGAGCATTCATTATGTAAGCGGAGACTGTTCTTGTAAAGGAAAAGGATTTGAGTCTTTGTCGGAATCCCATCTCCTCTGGAAGAGGAGCAAGCCTCCCAAGTTCTCTACAAGATATAACTTGACACGCTTTGCCATCACCCTGAATGAACTGACCCTTGGTTTGAAGGTACTTTTTTAGAACATGCAAATAAATGCAGTAAATAAATATTATGGTTTCCCGACTCTGCTGTGAGTGATTTGAACTTCTAATAGTGATTTGACATGCAGGAGAAGTTGCCCCCAACAGATTCGAGGCTTAGACCGGATCAAAGGTATCTGGAAAGTGGGGAGTATGAAATGGCAAATTCGGAGAAGTTACGGCTGGAGCAGAGGCAACGGCAGGTGAGTTAGTAGGCTGTATGACAACTAGCATCTAGATTATGGATTGCTCAGAGCTTTTATGGCTTCTTATCTTATGGATGTAATGCTTGTTTTGATGCGAATTCAGGCTCGGAAAATGCAAGAGAGCGGTTGGAAACCACGGTGGTTTGTAAAAGATAAAGGGAGCGATACTTATCGTTACCTTGGCGGATACTGGGAGGCCAGAGAACAGGGAAACTGGGATTCATGTCCTGATATATTTGGCCAATTCCCTTCTGATCAGCTAGTTGACTAAAAAGGTCGTTGCGGGTCTTCCGATTTGTCAATTCTTTTGCAATTTTTTTGAGTAGCTCTCAGCATTCTGGCTTTCTCAAGGAATTGGATGTAAGTAAATTAGATCATAGGTTTGAAAGTAGGTAATAAAAGAACATTTTTTCCCTTTTATTTGACTCTCCATTCATTACACAATGTGGGTATGATCATAGCGCCGGAGCCAACAGCCTCTTAAGAGTCATGTTGTTCTGAGTATTATCGTAAATCCCAGAAGAAAGTGAAAAATTCTTACGAACTTACGAGTCATTGCACAGTTCGTCGGTCCTACATCATGTTTAGGTGATTCTTTTGTGGTCTCTATTGACAAGATGTTAACAGAGACTTGGAGAGGAAAACCCCTCTTTATGACTTTGACAAATTTTGAGGTTTAGAGTTTAACCTCATTCTAACTTTCTACCTGAGCTTCCATGTGCTAACAAAATTTTCAGATTTTTATGTCTGAATTTTATTGATGGATTTGTTATTCAAGGGATTATAATGAATGTTCTATTCATATTTTCTGGAAATTATTCTCTACCCTACTAACACTCTTGGATTCCATATTCTTCTACTTTGCATCAAGTCTTTTTATAAGAAATTTAGCTTATTACCTCTGGCTTTTAGCCTCTACCAACTCTCTATAAGCTATTCTATGGCGAGTTGCTATTTTCCAATTTATGAGTGGAGTCGTTTTATGATAATGGCACCTACCGGTATTTCGTGTTATGTTTGATTTTGAGCGAATATATTTCTGTCGAAGAATAAAACATTTCGTAGAAGAAGTCTTTGTTTGTGATTCTCTGACCAGCCTATGGTTGCTCGAGGATCTCTTCATGCATTATATTAGATATCAAGAAAAATAAATATTGGCTTTAAAGGATACTATTACCTTGCTCTTTTATGAAAGAAAACACGGAGGATTTACTCTTAATGATGTATGAGTCTAGATATTTATTCTTTACTCTTGATAAATTGTTAGTATAATTATTTGACTAAAAAGATTATAAATCAAGTGTGAAGTGTAAAAATCTTAATTTATGTATTTTTAAAAGGTATTTGTCAAGATTATCCTTTATAAAAACGTTCTTTTAATTTTTTGGGCTATCTTTTAAATATGCAAATAAATCTTTCAGTGGCATTAGTCAAATGCTAAAAAGTTTTTATATATATATCACACACACAAATACATATGTATATTGAGACAAAACTCTAATTCTCCATGCAAGTATTACAAAAGTTGCAACTCGGAAAGAGAAAAAATTGCTATGCAAAATTTAGTATAATAATTCTTGTACTTTCAGGCTGTCTTTAGATGATTCTTTATCAGTCAAGAGTCAAGCGAGCTTTTAAGACTCGGAATCTCATATCCTTCTGATATATAAATGAGATATAAGATGATAAAAACCATAATCTACATTAAAAATGAGAAACAAGTGATCAAATTACGATAGATGATTTTTTTATAAGATGAATATAATTGTATATGCCTAGTTCATATCAATGTGACTTTTTGTATTGGATTGGATTGGATTGGATTAGATTCGGCAATGGTTGATCATTTTGTTTTTCTATATGGAATTTGGAGCTAATTGAAAAGCTTCAAAATAACGTCAAGTTAAATAAAAGCAAGGGTCGAGCGCTCACAAGTCTATATACACTCATTTGAAACCACAAGCTCTCAGTTTTTGCACTTTGTAACTTAAAAAAATCATCGGGAAAAAGATAGAGCAAGACAAATTTTTCACCTAATTTTTTCTTATATAGAACGAGGCCTTTATAAAAAATAACTCAATAGAAACGTTTTATTAGTAAAATAACTTCTTAAAAATTTTTATTTGTAAAATGATTATGGAATGATCACTTTTTACAAAGAATGACTGGGTAGTCGTTCTTCATAAAAAATAAAGAAAGTTATTTTGTCAATTTCATTTTGTTGAATAGTCATTATAGCATATTTCTCTTATAGAACAAATAACATGGTTAAGTTTACGAAAGAAATAAATTACGTGGTAAAGTGCAAGAAGGAACACTGTTGATATGGTTAGCACGGGTCTAACCTTTATCTCCTTCATGATTTTCTACTTACTCCTACGCAGAACTCTCCAAAGAAATTAGTGTTTATGTTTTTCACCCTCTAAATTTTACCAATACTACAATGGACTCCAGTTGAGTAGATCTAGTTATAGTGACACTCCATTGGCCATTAAAATTTCTAAAAGTGCCAAGAAAAATGCTTCTTAAGATGATATATATATATATATATATATAACAGTTTATGCCACTAAAATATACATACAATGATATTTTCCCTCTCAAACTTTTACAACCAATATACTCTTGTAGGAAAATTCGTTTTTTTTTTTTTTTTTTTTTTTTTTTTTTTTTTTTTTTTTTTATCAAACTTCGTTTCTGTTCTTTATTATATTTTCTCTTCTGGTCATCTCTTTTCAAGCCTTTCATTTGATTTTTTTCCCTAATTTCTTGTCTCTAGAATTTGATTTCTCTTTTGTTCAAGTTTTTTGCATTAGGCTTTTCTTTTATTATTATTATTATTATTATTATTATTGTTATTATTATTATTTTCTTTTAGGTTTTGTATTTCTCGATTTATAATTCGCAATTTAGAAATTTTGTAAGAAGTCACATTCAGCTACAATATATATAGTAAAAATCAAATTCTCTCTCTTATATTGGTTGCAAAATGTTTGGAGTATATGATCGTTATTTATGCATATTTAAATGGAGGAAATTTTTTTTTCCTTTATTATTGGATAGGAATTGTAGTATTTTACTACAATGTTCTCTCTCGTTTTAAATTTGGTCACAATCATATCAAAATAAAAAAAAAATCTACAAAACTGTTTGGAGCTTTATATTTTGTATATTTCTAAACATTAAATTTGATCAAAATCATATTAAAATAAAGAAGTATACAAAACTAATAGAACATGATGCAAATTTGATGATTCAAAGCAGGGTAATATCAATTAAGTATTTTTTCCTACCTACCCTAGAAATATTTTTTTTTAAAAGAGAAAGAAGATTAGAGGGAATTTTTATAATAGGAATTGTCTTTTTTCATTATCCGCTTTTGGAAATTTCTTTGATATTTTCTTTTTTTTGAGAACACCAGTATTTTTTATTTATCAATTATTAGATATATATTATTTTTTTAATCTAATTTGACTTTTAATTAAATTTAATATAAATCCAATAGCTAATAAACCAGTGTTCCTAAAAAAACACCTGAAAAAATCCCCTTTTATTATCAATTGAAACTTTTGTTTTAACTTTCAACGCTCTTTAATCCATGCCTTCATCTACCATATATAATTTGGTACAATAACTGCCTCAACAACTACGTACTACTTGATATCATTTAGAAAGGTAGACCTTTTACCCCAATCGAGAATGATGGAATAATTGTTGTCATTTACAGATCAAACCATTAGAAAATCCTCAAAAGAGAATGATGGAATAATTGTTACCATTTACAGATCAAATTATTAAAAAATTAATTCAATTAAAATGATATTATCAATCAATAGTAAAAAATGATAATTTTTACTTAAACGCTCATTTAATTTATGAGTTTAAGTTAATAATTTTAATTTTAAATTTAAATTTTATGAAAAAATTTATTTAGCAGGAACTTTTGTATTTAAATTTATTATAAAAAAATATTGTAATAGAATTGAATTAAGAAATTTTCTTACAAGGGTTATACTTTTTCACCTGAAAACTTATCTCGAATCATGAATGGCTTTGGATTTTGGAGGGTTCAGGTTCAGAAGTAGGAGATTTCGTAATCTGACAAAAGAACATACCCACCTACACACAAACATACTCATGACTTAGCCTAATCAGTCGCCACCTTTTTGTCTCAATTCTCCCTCCACTCCAATTTCATTCATTGGATTGACATTTGATACCAAAATATGCGCCACAAGCACCACAGCCATAGCACCGTTCCCCACATGATCAAATATCTGATCCAAACCGTCCAATCAATCATGACCGTTCAATCCCACTTCTCATCAGCCATAGGGCCCCTCTCCACAACCTGTCAAAACTGATTACTCATCTGAATCTCTTCATCCATCACTCATCAATCTCTGTTTGTTAGGTTCTTCATCTTCTTGTTGTTTTTTTTCCTTTTTTCTTTTTTTCGGGGTTAAATTAAGGTTCCGTTTATTTTATCGATTTGAGTTTTATTATAATAAAAAACTCTTAGAAATAATCACATTTAACTTTTTTGCTACAGTAAAACTCTCACATAAAATTACATCTTAACTTAAATTAAAAACTCGAATCAGCGAACTAAACAAACTATGGCCTCGTTCACTTCGTGGATTCGAATTTTTAATTCGAGCTGAGATTTGATATTTTCTAAAATTTTTTTATTATAATAAAAAAAATTAAATGTGACATTTTTTAATAACTTTTTACTATAAAAATTTAAAATTAAAAATTCGGTGAAATAAAGAGGCCTGTAAATTGTTATTGAATCTTTTTGCTGACCAGTGTGACACATACACTTACGTCAGGCCATAGGAGTGGAAGGAAAAAAAATGAATATTGGGATTCTTCCCTTTTTTTTTTTTGGCTGGAAAAAATTGGGATTGATTGATGGACTGATTTGTGAGGATTTTAATGATTGTATTTTGGACCCCAAAAAGACGTGGATGTAAATGGGAATTGGAATAATAATAATATTGCTAAAAAGTAAAAGCCAAAACCTCTGGGTAGTAATAGTATAGGGCGTGGCGAGCCAAACGAGGCCGTTTGAGTTTCAAGTTCCAAGCATTCATTCTCTCTTACGTATCACGATTTCTTCAAGAAAACTCTTTTTTATTTTCTTTGGCAGAATCAAGAAACTCTTGTTACGTACTCTGAGGGATTGTTTCTTTGTTCTTGTTTTTTTTATTTTTTATTGTCGCATGTTTTTTATTTTAAGTTTGAACAATTGTGTTGTAGGATATGAAAAAACAAATTCTATTGATAAAATGTAGTTGTAAGTACCTCATTACAAGAATTGGCATTGTTAGAAGAATTACGTAGTGAGTAACATAATTTGATGAAAATTTAGGCATCGTTTACTTTGCGGATTCGAGTTTTCAATTTGAGTTGAGATGTGACATTTTCTGAGAGTTTTTCACTATAGAAAAAAAAAGATAGATATGACATTTTTTTAAAACCTTTTACTGTAAAAACTTAAAACTGAAAACTTGAATCGGTGAAATGAACGAGACCTTAGTCATTCATAACAAATTATTGAGAGAGTTCCCTAAATAAGAGTGTTCTTATTAATTTATGCACCAAGATTCGTTTTATTTATTGATTCGAGTTTTTAATTCGAGTTGAAATATGACTTTATGTGAGAATTTTTTATTGTAGTAAAAAAATTAGATGTGACTGTTTCTGAGAACTTTTTACTGTAACAAAACTCGAATTGGTGAAATGAACGAGACTTAGTGAAGTGCGACAAAATATCCCTTACTAATAAAACACACTTTTGCATTATCAGATTACAC